GACGGCTCCGGGGGGGGGGGGGGGAACCTTTGAAGGAGAGATCTTTCTCTTTACTCTGTTCATTTTCAGTCAGAGAATTAAATCATTCTCTTGTCTTTCCTATTTCCATCGTGGGTTCCTAACAAATGTCTTTTGATTTGATCCAATTTTCTGTGTTGTGGCTGCTGTTTATCTTGACATAACACAAGCAAACTACCTTAAACTGGTTTTTGTTATCTTTTCCTGAATAGTGCTTGTAGCCTTGTACTACAATTCTTCCTATATACATTCATTGATAATCTTTTCTTGTAGTATCTACTCATGCACATTCACATTTTCATCTCCGCTACATTTAGTTTTTATTTTTATTGAAACTTTACTGTTCAGCATTTACTACCATAGTGCATTGCTGGTTTTATAAAGAGATGAAGTAGAATTTTCCATTTTGATGGCCACTATCCAATCCAAAGTTGCTGAAACTTTCATTTTTCCTTTTATACTTCCCCCTGGTATTCAATGCTTTAAATTAAATAAGTTGATAACCTTACCATTTTCTATTAGGTTGAGGAAAAAGGGGGTCTTGTGAAGAATCTTTTTCATTTTGCTTACAAGCGCCGACTGGCTGCTGTAAAAGGAAGCTGGCTAGGAGCCTGGGGATTGGAAAAGTTGGTGTGGGATACCATTGTCTTTAAGCAAATCCGTACTGCACTTGGAGGCCAGCTCCGCTTTATGCTTTGTGGGGGAGCTCCTTTATCTGGTGATTCACAACACTTCATCAATATTTGCATGGGGTAACGATTCCCATCTTTATACTACATAATGTTTTATTGGAGGTAACTGGTATCTGAATGTATATATGTCCATGCATGGTTGTCAAACTCGCGAGTCAACTCGTAGAATCGGACGAGTTTACGAGTCTAGGGGAGCAAAACGGGTTAACTCGCTTGTAGAATCGTTTTTGGGTAGACTCGGGTAGACTCGGGTAGACTCGGTCAGAATCGCGAGTCTAGCCCGAGTCCACGAGTCTGGTGGCTTTTTTTTTTTGACCCCTAAATGGCCCAAAAACGACGTCGTTTTGCCTAGGTCAGTAAGTGAAAAAATGTTTCTTCCCTGCGCGCGCGAGCTGCTCCACCATTTGCACGTTTCTGAGTCTCCCTCCGCAGCTAAACCCTAAACAGCCATCTCCGCCGCAGCTACGAACGGAACGCATCTTGCTGGGACGGACGCGAGTCTCCCTCCGCAGCTAAACTCTAATCGCCCCTCTACGAACCGCGAGCGTCTCAGCCACTACGAGGGCTCCTCTCCGCCGCTACGAACGGCGCCGCATCTTGCTGGGACGGACGCGAGTCTCCCTCCGCCGCATCTCGAACTAGTTGGAGATTCAACCAATCCAACTTTAAATGACCTTGAGGATTTGGTCTTTGATGATGTGAATATTGAAGAACCCTTATCATCAGATGAAGAGGATGAGCTTGAAGAAAATGAAGATGATGATGATGCACATGCATTTGTTGGAGGATTGGACTTTGATTGATTAATTTAGATCTTGTTTTATGTTTTTGATTTGTGGACTTATGTGTTTTCGACTTTTGGTTGTTTATGTATGGTTAAGATTTGTATTATGACATTTTATTGTTGTTATTTGACTTATTTTAGACTTAGAATGTTGAAATAGTGATATCATATTGTGTGCGTTCATGTTTTTTAATATATTTTAATATTAGGTAGACTCTTACGAGTCTACGAGTCGAGTCTACGAGTCGAGTCTACCAGAGCTCTACGAGTTTGTGTAGACTCTCGAGTTTGACAACCTTGTGTCCATGCATTTGTGTTCGCACGCTTCTATTCTGGGTTGGGGTTATGAATCTAGGTAGTTATAGCTGTGTATAGTTTGTGTATTAGATTCATTTCAATGTGAATTTCTATCTAATAGAAAATGTAAGATAGTATGTCTATTTATATTGTCTTGTATGATATTATAGTATGAACGTCATCATGTTGAAAAGTTATTAACTAAATTGTCCTAAAGAGGGGAAAAAATAAATACTGCCAAGTATTCAGTTTTATGATATCCTAGGATAGAAAATCAGTTCTCTGATACCATGTGATGAGCTAACTATGCCAATAGCTTAAGCTATTGGGTACAAGAACATGAGTAATTCTATGTTGAGTAAAAGCTGTAGTTTGGCCCTCCAAAGTTACGTGTTACTGCATCATCCCTTCAATTATGATAGCTGAAATTATGTAATTATGTTGCACAGATGAAATTAGGCCAGCTATTTTTCAGGGCTAAATATCAGATTGTATTACACTATTTTTAAATGAGAGTTCTTCAGCAGGAG